ATAGTGGGCTAACCGTCACATTATAACGCCCCCACGGCTGCAAGGGCGAGCATGTTTGGTGGGACGGGGATTCGAACCCGCGACCCTCAGATTGCGAGTCGATCGCTTTAACCACCTGGCCATGCCGGGCCCGTAAAATTTTTGAATCGAGTCACAAAACCTCCTATCAATCTATATACTGTAAGATGTGTAATTTGACTCGTGTACTTCTGACTTGACTCTACATGCTTGGTGATGATGCAGAGTAAAACGTTGCCGTATGTCTCTTCCTTTAACACTGTTTCTAATTATTTTGTTATAAATTTAAGTTTTCAAGATTAACAGACTACAGGCATCAAATAAATGATTGCACGAGACTGGTTGAAAAAAAAAAGAGTCAAGACTATTTTTTTTTTTATATATTTGATTTTTCGTAGTTTGTTTTTAAAATATATAGTGTTAAGCGTAGTAGGGCCTGGCGTAGCCTAGTGACTACGTTCGACTCGTAAACTGCGATTCGTGGGATGGAAACCTGTTCCTGAATATGTTAGTCCTTTCAACTGTGGGGCGTTAAAATGTAACGATCAGTACCACTATTTATTAATAAAAAGTATCCTAAGAATGGGCGGTAAGTGGTGTTGACTAGCTAACTTCTCTCTAGCCCGTCACTTCAAAATAAAGGATGGCTGGTGCAGATAGCCCTCGAGTAGTTAAGCACACAATTAAGAGTTACATAAAATCATTTATCATTGTTATTTTTACTTTTAAGTACCTTCTTCTAGTGTTTAAAAGTAAGCATGCATTTTCCCCCTACTAAACGAACTCAGTTTTGTCGTAGAACGGAGGATCGTTAAAATTATCTAGATTAATTACTGAATAAATGGAGAACACGGCTCAAAAGAAAAAAAAATTTCTGCTGGTTCAAACAACTTTTTACGGTAGCTTTAGAAATTAGGAGACTACACGGAAAGAAAGGCTAAATCTATTTTATAAAAAACACACGATTAGGCAGGTGGTTTTTTTTAACGCTCTGTCCATCATGAGGAATCGAACCTTGAATTTTAGAGTTGAAAATCCATAAACGTACCGCTTACCCACAGGGCGACCGATTAGATAGAATGATGAGAAGCTTAACATGAACATTTTAGCACAGATTTCACCAGATTAAAATAGGGGGAGCCCAAGTTAAAAGACGCAGCTGAACCTCTATTGCTAAACATAGAAAAGCCACGTGTTTTCTTGTCCAGCTGTTAGCTTGTCGGGCTGTGAATTCGAGGGTTCCAAGTTCGCTTCACGTTGCCACAAAATCGTGCTTTGCACGTAGTAGCCGTGGGTGCGCTACAAGAGTGACCGTTAAATTCTACTAATCGCTCCGAGAAGCCCAAGAGTTGGCGGTGGATGCTGTTGACTGGCTCAATATTAGAGACGGCTAGCTCTTGTGTAGCGTTACGCGAACGTGTAAAAGAAAGAAACTTAACTCATTTCTAAGGTTAAGTTTTTATTCTAGAAAAAGAGAATTAAGGTGCACAATTAAATTAAATGGCTTATTTGACACTTTCTTTTACACGCGTCTTTCAATTTGTCGTTTTTTTTTATTCATAGCCAAACTACTAAGGCTAACTGCAGCCGTGCCTAATTTTCAACTACTGACCAGACAGAAGGAAAACTCTTATAACGCACCTATAATTTAAAGTGAAAAGATTTTTTGTGGTATCGCAGAGATTCGAACTCGGCTTACTCGCTACTATAGGGCCAATGTGCGCACCAAATTGACTTTGACCTTGTAAAACAAGTACCAGATAATTTTATAACAATTAACAACATTGTAAGAATAATGAATAGTCAATGTTTTGGACAAACGACGTTCATCAGAGTGTTAAACTTTAACCATTTTTTTCCTGTTTTTAACTGTTATAGCACTTTTAAAATTTTATCACCTTGAAGTAACTGCACTTGTTTTTGTTTTACAATATGCGTCAATTGGATTTTCATACCTAAGGGAAATTCTTTAAGTATGCAAAACTTTTACATTTACATTTCTGACTTCACTTGTCATGAACATATTTCTTTTTAAAATACAGATATTACTAAGATTTCGGGGGATATTTATGTGTTTTTTTTGTCATAAATAATTATCGAATGACAGAAGTAAATATTCAAAGAAAACTGAACAAACAAGTCGATTTATTTTTAAGGCAAAATAACCTTTTTTTATTTTAGTGACAAAACCGTACACCATCTATTATCAACATGACACAAACAAAAGGTCTGAAAATTCTACAATATGAAAAAGTCAAATTAATTTAAGAAACAGCTATGCGAAGCAACAAATGCTTCTCAAATATGCATCGCCAACTCGTTAAATAAGCCAGAAGTGCCAGATTTCTAAATGTTGATGAACTACTCCAAGATCAGCCATATCCTAGACGATAAGACTGTATGTAGTCATAACTTTGCCATATCCAGAAAATAAATAAATATGTACAAAATAAATATAAATAAAAGAAGCAAAAATTGCTCTAATAATTTTATCATTCTCCATATTCTTCGAGTCGTTTTATTTTCATCTTTAGATTTCTCAGTGAAGTTCTGTAAGCAAATAAGAAAACGAATATTTTGAATTTTATTGCATAAGACAAGTTTTTTCTAAACTTATTAATTTGTTTTAATTCTAGTCAATGTAGCCTTTACTGGGATGGAATTTACTAGAAACTGGTCCTTTCCTTGTTTAAGACGGACATTACATAGGTTCAGAAATGTTGCCCACTTTAAGACAGGAGTATTATTTGAGAAATGCCAGTCATAAAACGTTTAAACTAATAGTAAGACTTGAATATCTTTAAAACTATTTTATATAAAAGATACCTAATTCTATTTGTTCTGCTATTTTAATTTTATGAAAATCTTAATATTTTGTTCTTTCCTGAGTGATCATATAGATACGAAGGTTAGGAAGCAATTACTATAATTTTTTTAAATACCCAGAAAGATTTGAACAAGGCTTACAACATTCACGTGATCGTTGTTTTAATCTAACTCGTGACAAGATCAACAACCCTCTACCCGTGATTAACAATTTTAGAAAAACGAATCAAGGCTACAACTTTAGCATGAATGACGTTAAGAATCCGCTCATGTCATCATTTGTAGATTTTTATCAAATACAAACAATATGTACATTTTGATGAATCACGCTTAATTTCGTCTTATCCTAACATTAGTCCAGTAGCTTTCTGTGTGAAATACGGACAATAAAAAAGTTATTACATAATGATAAGAAAGCTCCAAACCTTTACACAATTAATCTTAGGAAACTCGTGATTGTGAGTTGAGAACTCTGGGCACGTCTATAGCTATGCCATCTCAGTTTTGAAAGTGCTTTCTAAAGAATGTTCGATATCATTGTATCACACACCATTGTCTGATGATAACAAGGTTGAGAAAAAAATGATAACTTGACTTTAACATATAATCTTAGAAACACTTGTCCTGCTGATATATATATATATACATGAATTTCTTTGCAGTATCACATTTAGCTGACTAAAAAATATAACAGGTGCTTTGTTTTATATTTCATTAGCATGAAAAGATAATAAGGTATTTACCGAACAGACTATAGGTCTAACTTACTATCATTTTTCTCCAGTTGATTTTCATTTCTGATTTGTAGCTTAAAAAATAACCTCCATAGGTGAAGAATGTCCAGGGAAGAAAGGTGAGAGAGATCGGTGTTCAACAAACTTGGAGGCTCTGAATTTCCATATTTTTCTGTGTTATATGTAGGAAATGTGTACAACTGGGGAAATTGTTCATCATATTTTCCCTCAGCAGAAGACATACCATACGACCTCTTTCTTTTCCCTCTACAGGTGAAGTATATTTATATGATTGTATAAAATTAATACAAAAATCAGGTGACAAAGATTAAAATTACAACCTATTAAAAGGTGTGCTTACTGATTTTCAGACAAACTCGATACAATACAAGTCTCATTTGAAGAAAGAAAAAATCATATATGTTGCACAAATAAAACAAGCTTCTTAATAAAAAAACAACAACACTAAAGATAATCCATACTATTAAAGTGCATACCAAAAAATTATGAGATTCTATCGTGTTTAATGTTTATTCGAAGTTAAGCACAAAGCTACACAATGGGCTAGCTGTGCTCTACTAACCACGGGTATCGAAACCCGGTTTCTAGCGTTGTAAATCCGCAGACATACCGCTATGCCAATGGAGGACTGTGTTTACTGAGATTTTTTTTTCCATTGAACACATACAAAAGACATTTTTTTCCATCTTTTTCAACATGTGAAGCTGTAACGTTTTCTTCGAAGACGAATTTGTTCTCTTTTTATTGAGAGGAGTTCGGGGCTGAATACAACAATATCATCACATAGTAGTGTAAAATACACGATACAGTATATTTTAGCTAAATTAACGAAAAAAAAACACTTTAAATAATAGTACAAAGACTATGAAAATGTCGAAAATAGTTTCCTAGTTTTTGTACTGATATTTTGTTACAAAAGTTTTTTTTTTTGGTTAATCCTCATATAATGCTATTCACAAGCATAATTTTCACGGAGGACGTATCCCTCACACTTTTTTCAAGGATACCCATATGCATGTCCTAGCTACAGAAACTGTTCTCGCAACAGTGGACGTTCGTTAGATTACTTTTACTTTAGATTACTCTCGCATTATAATTTCATTACTATTGTTATTAAAAACAAAGTCATAGAATATTTTAGTATATGCTTAATAAAACTATTTTCACCTTACGTATTTTGTATCACACTAACCAAAAAAATGTATTTTGGGTACAAAAAGTTTGGCCTACGAATTAGTCCTGAGAAGAATGGGCCGAGCTCAACCCATTGGTTAGCATGCCGTCTATGGATCTGCGGGACCAATTTTTGCGTCCCGTTACCGAAAAAAAGAAAAACGAGCAACGCATTTTGGAGCCATGGGGGCTTTATAAAGATGACGTTTAAACCCTACTATTTTATCAGACATGAGCTGGCGGTGTGTGTTGTTGACGAGTTACCTTTCCTCTAGCACATCAGTTATAATTCAGTGACGACTAGCGCATGTTACTCTTGAATAGCTTTGCGCTAATGCTCGGAAAACAAACTGTCCTGTAAAGACTAAATATATCGTAATGACATTTGTGCCCCTCTTTTCTTCGCCAGATACTAGACACTTTACGCCACCACAGCATTATATTGAAACTACAAAGTTACCAAATCGGATGAACATAACAACAAAGAAGTGAAAGGGCCTTACAAATTCGTAGGATCAAAAACTCCAAAAGCGATAGGGCTTGTAACCTCCTTAGCACGGTTTCGAGCGTATTTGGACATTGCGATTAAAGTCTCTATTTCAGCTAATCGTTGATCAGAAATTCCACTGCGTTTCTCCCTGAAAATAATTTATAAAAAAGTAGAATACATTTTTAAAAGTCATATGCACTTTTTTTATTTCAATCTAGTCTTTTTTACAAAAAGAAAAAAGGGATCTGCCCGCATACTCTGTATCTTCCTAACAACAACAAAATACTATTGAATGTCATGTTGTAAACTATTCATGTAAGATAGGAAACAGTCATCTAACGATTCTGTGTCGTATTGTAAACTGTTCGTGCAAGATAGAAAGTAGTCAACTAATGACTCAATGTCGTATTATAAACTGCTCGTTTAAGATAGAAAGTAGTCAACTAATGACCCAGTGTCATATTGTAAGCTGTTCGTGTAAGATAGAAAGTAGTCAACTAATAACTCAATGTCGTATTATAAACTGTCTCGTTTAAGATAGAAAGTAGTCAACTAATAACTCAATGTCGTATTACAAACTGTTTGTTTCAGATTGGTAGTCAACTAATAACTCAATGTCGTATTATAAACTGTTTGTTTCAGATTGAAAGTAGTCAACTAATGATTCAGTGTCGTATTGTAAACCGTTCGTGTAAGATAGAAAGTAGTCAACTAATAACTCAATGTCGTATTATAAACTGTTTGTTTCAGATTGAAAGTAGTCAACTAATGATTCAGTGTCATACTGTAAACTGTTCGTGTAAGATAGAAAGTAGTCAACTAATAACTCAATGTCGTATTATAAACTGTTTGTTTAAGATAGAAAGTAGTCAACTAATGATTCAGTGTCATACTGTAAACTGTTAGTGTAAGATAGAAAGCATACAATTAATGGCGGAGTTTCGTATTGTTAAAACTTATCTATTACCAATATCATGACAAATCTCTATTAATACAGTGGCTTTCTAAATAAATCGAATGCAGAATATCTTTCCCATTCGGGTATGTAATAAGGGGTTAATATTTGTATTTTATTTTCTTAACTCAACCAAATATTAATCCCTTATTACATACCCGAACCAAATATTAATCCCTTATTACATACCCGAACCAAATATTAATCCCTTATTACATACCCGAACCAAATATTTAATTTTCATATATTTTTTGAAATTCTTGTTTTTCTGTTTTGTTTATTTGTTTATTCGAGAATTTCGTGCAAAACTACACAAAGGTCTATCTGCTTATAGCCGTCCCTAATTTTGAACTGCTAGACTAGGTGAACGTTAGCTAGTCCACAGCACCTACCGAAACTCATAGGCTACAATTTTCTGACTGAATAATGAGATTAAAGTAGCCTAAGAGTTGGTGGTAGATGATATTGATAAGCTGCCTTCCCGCTAGTCTATCAGTTCAAAATGAGGGACAGAAAACGCAGGTAGCTTTTGTGTATCTTTGCGCTAATTTCATATACAAACAAATCTATTGTTCGAAACCCATTTTTGTAAATCATTTATGGAACAAATTGCTTGTGTGTTGATAACTGGGTTGGTTACAGGGTCCTTAATAACAGAAACAAACAAAAAAAAATATCTCTCAATATATGAATCCAGTCGATAGGACTAATTCAGCAAGGTTCTGACTTAGAAAGGTATTCTGTTGAATTTGTTATGGATTAATATATCTCGTTACCTGTCAATGTTGAAAATTCTTGTTGCTATCAGACTAGTTCAGAAGGCAGGTAGCATGTGCGCTATGGGGGTGTGGGGCAGATTTTGGAAAAGGTAGCTGAAAGAGTTGACTCATATTCACTATTACGCACATATGATAGTGCATTATTACGAAAGATTCACATAAATTACGTTTATTATTTTATTTATTATTATTAAGAAATTTTTTGGTGGGTGACCGGTAAGTTTACAGACTTATAGCGCTAAAATCTAGGGTTCGATTTCCCGCGGTGGAGAGAGCACAAATAGTCCGTTGCATAGCTTTGCGCTAAAATAACAAACAATTATTAAGGTATTATAAACCTTTATTTCTGAACTATTTATTATTATGATCAGCTCTAATATAATTCAATTTTAGTTTTTCATTTGTATTTGTCAAATATGTTTAGTGTTTATATCAAATTGGAATCTGAAACGGGGGGGACAAAGAATCTAAACTGGAAGGTCAAAGCCCCGTAAGTGTCCCCCACCCACCTACACACACACGGTGCCGGCCCTGTATCAGACAAAAGCTCTGTATTAAAATTTTAGATGTACAAAAATTCGAAATAGCAGTCTTAAATCAAAAGCTAATGCAGAGAGAAAAAATTATTATAAATGGATAAAAGTAAAACGAACTTCAAATCAAGAAGCACGTGCTAATTTTACATGCAACGTCAAAGCTCTCTCTCTTTTTACGGTTCTTATCTTATAGCCGTTTTTACTCTGTATATATTGTTGGTGACATACACAGGATGAAACAAAAAGCGAACGTTTATCAACATGTAGTGTCTTGTATACAGGATATATTTCCGCAAGATCCGAAAAGCGACAAAAACGAAACATTTTTTAAATATTTACTTGTTATTTTCAACACAATTAGCAGACAAATAATTACAATTTAATGCAGTTTTTATTAATCTAAGTGATTAATTCACAAAACTCAAATTTTTGGAAACAAATTTTTGAGCAAAACACTTTTACTTAAATATTATAATAAAATTAAATGAAGTGGAAAAGAACTAATATATTTTAAAACTGGAATCGGCAATCAATAATTCTTATCTCTACAAAGATAGCAAAAAATTACACTTATACTTATTTTTCAATTAGAAAAAAAATCTAAATTTTCTTTGCAACTTTACGAAAGTAATAGTGATGAAACTTACAGTCGAAGAACTAAATCCTGAGTTGTTGTTTTTTCTTTGCTTTTTTAAATAATGAAAATCATCGAAATTAGCTTATCATACGAGACTATGTGACGATCTACTACGTAACATTCTTACCTATGGTAAGGTCTTCCAGCAGCCAGACAGAACATTATTAAAAAGGTAAGAACGAACAAAGTTGGATTTATCTTCCTCCATAACGCCATCACTTACTTTGCAAAACTTAAGCCTACTCTTAGAGCGAATTTTTGGTTGGGGTCAAGCCTAATCAAGATAGCCCTTCTGAAAGCCCGTGTTTATCTTACTCGCAGTGGTTATTTTGCAGGTAAAACTGAAGTGATGCAATGGTATCAACTTATTAAATACGCTTTGGTATTATTGTCTCCGCCCTCTGTCTGTCACTTGACTTACGAACCAATAAAAACCCTTGACGTCATTCATTGAAACATGATGCAGCAACTTTATGATAGATTCTAGGTCAAAATGACGACAGAATCATGAAACATTATTACCATTTTACTCTTAGAGGCTACAAATCTCAATTCTTACTATAAAAACAAATTTTTAATTGTATCAAATAGATTGCTTAAGCCCACATTGAAATAAGTGATGAAAAACGTTGTCTTAGCACGTGATCCCACGTTCGGATATCACTCATCTCATATACGAAAGATGTCAGTTCATATAAAGTTTAGTGTTATATTATTTATTATTTCACAAGTACACTACTCAGTATATATACACCAAAGTCAATAGACACCTTATTAATGTATAAACGTTTGATTAGTGCTTCTGAAAAGTCAGTTTTTACAGAACTTTTGAAACCTTCATTTTCTTAGAAACTTAGCTATTTTGCCTGCTTGTGTTATAAATCATACACAATGAAGTTAGTTCAAATAAATAAGTGATTTCTAAAGGTCATAGTTTAAGTAACTGTAAATAAGGTGCTAACGTTTTTTAAATACAGTTCTCTTTGTTAATTATATTTAAAACTTACGAACCGCTTATAACGAATTACACTTCAAGTTATATCCATTCAGTTACAAAAATAGTTATTTTGTTTTTTCGTCTATTGGTTATTTTAAGGTTACCAAGAATTGCTACCATATATTCTAAGTGTATACTGATATTATTTTATTTATCTGACAAATTATGAATTTTATTGGCTTGTAACACGAAGGAAAGCGATGATTTCAAACTGGATAAGTCATTCTTACTCCCTCTTTCACATACGCACGGAATTGGGAATAGCTTGACGGTTTCTTAGAGTAGCTATTTGTAATATTGTTCTGTTAATTATGTTTATACAGTTTTTTGGAATTCTTCTAAATTCTTTGTAATTTATTCATTACATATGTGTAATGCACAAGTGCTACCAATTATATGCAACCAAAAATTGTACCATCTGTAATTACAATTATATGCAACCAAAAATTGTACCATCTGTAATTACAATTATATGCAACCAAAAATTGTACCATCTGTAATTATTTCTTTTTTGTTCATACTCAGTCTTTTTTTATATATTATCCCTCTTTTCTTAAGCTTACTGTCGCCCATTGCACATTTGGTAGAAGGCTACCAAATAAAATCTTTAACCATGTTCCACAGAGTTTTTTTTTACAAGTTGTTGAAATATGCACCAGTTACATAACAGAGTTGGTTTACAGGTTGTAAAGTACAAACCGACTTCACAACCATTTAACGAGGCTTATTTACACGTTGTGAAGCAAGGACCGGCTTAATAACCCTCTCGTCCTATAAGTCCCTGTTACAGCAAGGGTTTCAGCACTGTCGCAAAGTTGTTTGATTATTTTTAGAGTTTTCGCACAAAGCTACATAAAAGGCTATCTATTGATATCCCTAATTTTGAACATCAAGACAAGAGGAAAGACAGCTAGTCAACAGTACTCACAGCCAAATCTTGGGTTACTATTGTCTGACTATATTGTTAGTATAGCGCATCCATGGCCCCAAATTATGGAACGTGTTTTTGCGACAACAAGTTGAGAGCCATGAACTCTCGGATATACAGTCCAAGCACGTTAACTACAAGGCCACTCCCGACCCACTTCTACATACCCCGTAAAAATGTTTTGCAAGTCTTCTTTATTGTCGTATTAGACTCTAATTTTATTTATATTTGTGTATTTAATTAATCAGCAATTCTGAGAATGCATTGTTTCGGGATTGTCGAAATAGGTCTTGCTAGTTTAAACTGTCCCATCCAGAACCTTTAAGATAATGTTTCTAGTACGATGGTTGTGGTCGATTTGAAGAGTGCTTATATGTTTTTTTCTTATTCAGTAAAAAAAAAGAAAGAGAGAGAGAGATTTGTTTTTCGTAGTAGTTACAGTGAAATTTCACTGAACAAACGGTAAACAGGACGATAGTTTCAGTCAAGTTTGACAAAATAAATAATAAAGAGGGTGGTAATTTCAGTCAAGTTTTACAGAATAAACAATAAACTGGGTGTTAGTTTCAATCAAGCTTCACAAAATAAAAGATAAACAGGGTAGCAGTTTCAGTTGAGTTTCACTGAATAAACTATATACAGCATGATAGTTTCAATCAAGTTTCACAACAGGAACAATAAACAGCGTGGTATTTTCAACCAAGTGTCACAGAATAATCGATAAGGGGGGGGGATTGTAGTTAAGGCAAGTTTCACTGAATAAACGATAAAAAGGGTGATAGTTTCAGTCAAAATTCACAGAATGAACGGTAAACGGGGTAGTTTTAAGGTCTGTAGAGCGATACCTGTAACATAAGTGAAATACTTTGGGTATAAACGTTAGATATGACGGGAGGTGAAGGCATGAACTGATTCTAAAATATTTTACTGATCAATGTTATAATGATCATTAACGATTACTTCTTTCATCCATATACTGTTATTGGATATTACAGCACGCAACATATTCCCAGAAATTGTAATTCAGTGAAGACATCAAATGGTTCCAAGAGCTCTAGAAAAAACAAACAAAAAACACCATAACGGTGCCAGCAGGGGATTTTAGTGGCCAGGCTTGATGAGAGAGGTCGCTGAGAACTTTTTAACCAATCTGTTGATTCCAGTAACTGAGTACCGCCTGCATCTTAGGTTGTCACAGTATATTACCACTAATTTGCACGTGCTGCGCTCCATAACGACATTTCCAGAAACAAATAGGATAATTTTCCACGACTTCTCATGCTGGCTATGTAAACTGTTTCAACTACTAATACAGGCTTTATAGCCATCCTGTACTAATCTATGAATGAAAATGTGTTACTTTGAAGTATATATATACGTGACAACATATCTTGAAAGAAAGACCATAGATTTTACACTTGAACTATCGTATTCTGAGAATTCATAGTATTTAGTCGACAGTTATTCATAATGTCTAGTTCATACTTCCAGTCATTAGTTTACAGTTGTTTATAATAGTAATGTCTAATTAATATCTGCTGTACTTGTTTGACAGTTGTTTATAATGTCTAGTTCATACTTGCTGTACTTGGATGACAGTTGCTCATAATTATAATATCTAGTTCATATTTGTTGTGCTTGCTTAACAGTTGTTTATAATGTCTAGTTAATATTTGTTGTGCTTGCTTAACAGTTGTTTATAATGTCTAGTTCATATTTGCTGTGCTTAGTTAACAATTGTTTATTATGTATAAGTTCATATTTGCTGTGCTTGGTTAACAATTGTCTATAATGTCTAGATCATATTTGCTGTACTTGATTGACAGTTGTTCATACTTATAATGTCTAGTTCAATATTTGAGTCTTTAGTTCACAGTTGTTTATAATTGAAATATTTAGTTCGTACTTGCTGTGCTTGCTTGACATTGTTTATGATGTTTGCTTCATATTTGCAGTACTTTGTCGACAGATGTTTATAATGTCTAGTTCATATCTACTGTAGTTTATAGACAAGTGTTTATGATCTCAAGTTCATTTTTGCAGTAGTTTGTCGACAGTTGTGTATAATCTCAAGTTCATACATGATGGTTTTAATCGTTGGTAGAATGCCGTTTACATAATGCCGACACGTTGCCTGGCTATTTTCTAAGCTTCTCTAATAATACCATAAAGAAATACCGGGAATCATAATAAAACTATTTCTAAAAAATATATACCGTAATTAGGATGTAGTCATATATCGTTTTAAAGTAACACATAAAAAGACCTGTAATTCTTTCATTATATGAAATCTCGAAGCACTAATGTTGTTAGCTACCAAATTTTCTCACCCTCTACAAACTGTAGTAGCTCCTGAAGCAATAGTTTTGCTTTTATTAAATTTTGTTCCTGTTAAACAGAGTTCAATACTTGAATAAGAACACAGTGTGGTTGCCAGCAGACTTCAGATGACGTACAGGTCAAGTACTTTATGAAACTGTGTGCTGTTAAACATTTCTGTAAAACTACTTTCAGTTTATCAGTTTATTAGTATCTAATCTAATCTTGGGATGTTGTCACAAGAATAAACCTGTAATTACTTCACAGTTTCATCAGCATGCTTAATTTGCAATGGCTAAACAAACACTGCCAAGGCGTTACACTAAGAATATCGTGGACACCCACGTGGAAGATGTTAAGAAAATTAACTCACGAACACTACGGCGTGAAATATTATGAAACTTTTTATGTGCCAATAACCTGGACTCGCTCTTAGTTGAGATTTGAGGAAATTATTTGTCATTATTCAAATAAATATTTGTAGTTTCAAGTTTGTCTTTTTTTAGGTCTCAATAAAAATAACTAAGATAATCTATTTCGTCCTCCCCTCTCAGTCGAATTCTGTTTAAATATACTTCACTATTTGGTATTATGTTTGAATATATTTCACTGTCTAGTATTCTGTTTAAATATATTTCAAGGTCTAGTATTCTGTTTAAATATATTTCATGGTCTAGTATTCTGTTTAAATATATTTCACTATTTGGTATTATGTTTAAATATATTTCACTATTTGGTGTTATGTTTAAATGTATTTCGCTGTCTAGTATTCTGTTTAAATATACTTCACTATTTGGTATTATTTTTGAATATATTTTACTGTCTAGTATTCTGTTTAAATATACTTCACTATTTGGTATTATGTTTAAATATATTTCGCTGTCTGGTATTCTGTTTAAATATATTTCATGGTCTAGTATTCTGTTTAAATATACTTCATTAGATGGTGTTCCTAGATCTCACAGAAATAACACTCGTAATACCACAAGCTATCAGTGTTTAGGTTATTTCGCCTTCTCGTGCTGTTCGATATGATTGAATGTCATCGTCGTCTTTTATTTCATAACAATGATTTTCAAAGTTTAATTCATCATTAAATATAAG